CTCTTCTAATTATTAAGGCCCCTATCTTCGTCAAGCCGAGGCCCTAAACCCGAAACGACCCCAAGCCACAATGGTCGAGGCGACCCTGGGGAGCATCTGCGGCTGCTTGGGATTGCAATATGCTGTAGCAGTTTGTAGTATATTATATTCTATATTAGACGATGTTAGACTATGTTGTGGTGTATTATAGTATCTTACATAGTATATTGTGGTACATTTTACTTTATATTAGACTCTACTATAGTATGTTATGGTATATTATATAGTATATTATATAGTATATTATATTGTATGTTATATAGTATATGATCTAGGATATTACATAGTATATTAGAAGCTTCAGAGGGCGAACGCGGGTTTTCCGGATTGGAGCTGCGGTCCTGGGGGTTGGGATGGACACAGGGACCCTTAAGGGTACACATAGGGTTTAGGGTTTAGGGTTTAGGATTTTAGGGTTTAGGGTTCAGGATTTTAGGGTTTGGGGTTTAGGTTTTAGGGTATATAGTAGGTGTATAAGGATCCCAGCCTGATCATCTCGACTCGCGGTTTGAGTTCTTGTAGGCCATGAGTTGTGGATCGTCAGGCATTCAGCTGAGCTAACCGACAGCTGGTGTGTTTCCAAACCCTAAACCCTAAACCCCTTAAACCCTAAACCCTAACCTATGGGATTAATCCTTGCGGGGCTTTCGGGCAGGGTCGGGATTTCTGGCCCCGGGCGGTCTTCCAGTGCTGGAAGGCACTGCAACTCTTACATGATATGCTCGTATACCGTAAGCGTATTATCGTAAATCATGGTATAGCAGGTATATCACAGCACATAATAGTATGCTATAGTATAGTGATTGTAGTCGTTGAAGCATGGGTAATCACAAAGGGATCAGGTTGGAGGGTCTTGGGGTCTAGGGCTTTAGGGTTGACGGTGTGGTTTTATCATTCTGAAACGGCGCGCGAGTCACCATGCAGGGCTGCGAATGTGAACACGTCTTCGAACGTGTATTAAAGAGGCTTCAGTGATAGTTTAAAAGCCCGAGTGCTCAAATAGGTGTTGCTCTTGCCCGAGGGACATCTTGTTGGTATCTTTTGGGCCTAGGCTTACACAGATTGCATTCTTTTCTTGCAGGATGTGCACACGACATGAAGTAGCTACCCCGATATACTTAGAAGCACACTTGTCAACAACCAACCTCATCGAAACAAAGAAAGCATAATCCATGTATGTGTTTGTATATGTGTTTATACATACACAAATACATGCACAGATAAATACAACATACATGCACACCTATCTGTCTATCTATCTATCTATCTATCTATCTACCTATCTATCTATCTATCTATCTATCTATCTATCTACGTGCAAACGGATTTATATAGTACGCCCGGAGAGCTGAAGAGTAAGGTTATCCTATCCATACATCGCAAGTCGTCACAAAGAAATTGGTAGTCGCTGGTCTTGGGGGTGCGTTGTATGTCTGTGTATGTACATGGTGTCTGTATAATAATATTACATGTATGTATACATGCACAAGTTCATATATACATAAGTGTACATATATATATATATGTATTATGTACATTGTTTGCACATGTTCATGTTTATGGACTCTGGTCCGGGCGCTACGATGCCTGAGACGCGTGTCGACTTGCGTCTGTCGGCTGAAAGACAACTTGCAAAGCATGTCGCGTTCCTTACATCGCACACCCTAAACCCTAAACCCTAAACCCCTAAACCTCAAAAAACAACGCTAAGCTTCCAAAACCCACGAAGGCAGCTCTCCCTATGCAGCCAGTGGTCGCAGACAGCCCACCAAACCGGAATTAGGCAACATTCCTCAGGTAATAGTAAGAAGACCAGAGCAAGTTGAGGTGGCAGCTAGTGTCAGCTGATAGGTTCGGCAAGCCCCAAAAGCCGAAAAACTTGGCCACAGAAGCCCGGAGAGGGTTCAAAGTCAGGGCAATGTAAGGGGGCTCAAGGTTTTAAATTGCCGAAGGCTTAGGGATCAGGAGGCTTGGCAGGTAGATGATAACGCAGGTAATGAGCAGCAGCAACTCCAAGTAGGGCTGAACATGACCTTGTTTTGAGTCTGCAATCCTTGAAGCAGGGCTGAGGGCGAAGTGCACTGTACGACCCCTGAGGCGCTATGTCCGCGCAGCTGGAAAAGCGCACAGCCAGCGGAGCAAAAGCTTGAAAAAAAATTGCCAGACAGAGAAATGAGACGAGGAGTAGTAGTAGTAGTAGTAGTAGTAGTAGTACTACTACTACTACTACTACTACTACTACTACTACTAGTGGTGCTAGTGAAGACATCTCACGACACTGCAGCCGGGAGTCTTGAGCCACAGCCCCCAAGAAGCTGCTTCTGCAATGAAACAGCCGTTTTGGTCCAGCCGGTAGCCCGTTGACATAATCCCTTGCATACTGAACTCTGGCGAAGATGGCTGCCAAGGCGTCCCGGTGTGATCAAAACAAATTTCGGTTTCCGCTTCCAGGCACAAGCGCCGAGTTCCCAAGAGCAGTCGCAGCAACACCGATGGTTCAGGGGCTACAGAGTGGGGCTTTACCATTCTCTATCAGTGCCAATCGCAGTCTCAAGCCCTAAACCCCAAGTCCTAAACGAGAGCTTTTGCCAGCATCCGGCAGAGTGTTGGGTGTAGCGTGGAATCGAAGTTTCGCAGAGGATCATGAAAGCCCCTGTCCCTTACTAAACCCGATACAGCTACGTACGTACTATAGAACCCTTGCAAGAGCCCTTGAAGGAACCCTATTCTAATCATCATATTCAGATCCTTTTGACATTACAGAACCCTTCCAGATAGAGCCCCTAAAGCAGCCCTTGCCAATTATTTAAGACCCTGGTCCCTAAACTCTACACCCTAATCTAGCCCCCTAAACCCCTGAACCCCAAAACGCTAAACCCCTAAACCTTTAACCCCTAAGCCTTTAAATCCTAAACCCCGAAACTGACACAAAGGAACCCTAAACCTTAAACCCTAAACCCCTAAACTGACACAAAGGATCCAGAGTCGGCCAGCATGCTGCTCAACGGCGCAGAGGTCGAGGCCAGGAGTTCCAGCCAGCCGGGGGATTTCAGGTTTGGGGGCTTTTTGGGTTTAAGTCTTAGGTTTTCGGGATTACCCTAAACCCTAAACCCTAAACCCTAAACCCGGGTTTAGGGCTTAGGGTTTAGGGTTTAAGTCTTACCGTTTCAGTCTTAGGGTTTCGGGCTTTGGGTTTAGGGCTTAGGGTTTAGGCTTTAGGGCTTAGAGCGTTTAGGGTTTGGGTTTTCAGGATCTTGACTTAGGGTTTGGGGTTTCAGGCGTTTTAGAGCGTTTGGGGTGTTGGGGTATGTTATGGGTGTTTAGTTTTTTAGGGCTTGAAGTTGCGGGGTTTAGGGCCTAAGCCTGTTTTCTGGCTTTTTAAGATCACGGTTTAGAGTTTTAGGGTTTAGGGTGGGTTTAGGGTGTCAGGGTTTTGGACTTTAGGGGTTCCTGTTTTAAGGTTCAACCCTAAACCCTAAACCCTAAACCCTAAACCCTAAAACCTAAATCAAGATTGCAGGGTTTTGGTTTTTAACATGTCTCGGATTCAGGGTCTCTGCAGGAACGGTTATTAGAAAGTTTCTGACAAACCCAGTGTTTTTCATGGTGTAAGCCGTAAACCCTAAACCCAAACCCCTAGACCCTAAACCCTAAACCCTAGGGTATAATAGGATGAATAGGATTCAGGATCCAGTGTTTCGGCTTTGGGCTCAGATTATGGTGTCGATGTCCTCAAGTTTCGGTCTTTTGCAGTCTTTTCCCGGTTGCTCCTACAAATCTTGTCCCCAAACCTTTCAGTGGTATCTATTTCCTTGTAGAGGCGCGGAGTATTTGCGATGCAGTCGCGGCTGTGGTTATGGGGCCCTCAAGCACGCCAAGCGTGGGCTTGTGTACCGTAAGTTGGCACTTGCATGTCTTTGTTCGTAGGTGGCCCTAAACCCTAAACCCTAAACCCTAAACCCTTTTTTAGGCCCTACATAACCCACGTCTCTTTATTTTCGGCCAAGTCTTCCGTAGGAGCAGCAGAGGGCCCCAAGAATTGGAGGATCTCGCTTAAAGGGAGAGAGGCGCGCCGAGCTCCCACCCTAAACCTGAATCCCTGAATCCCTGAACCCTAAACCCTGAACCCTAAACCCTAAAACGTAAACCC